AACGCTTCGCCACCTACCTCTCCACCTACTTTGGTAACGGGACAGGCATCATTAATAGACGTTGGACAGCAGACTGGAAGTACCGCGGGATTTGTACGGCCGATGTCGAGCGTTCCTCAGACTTTTCAGACAGCTAGTGCCGAGTCTCTCTCGATGTTTGGAAGAGTACCCCGTATTTCAAATTTTTCTGGAAATTCTTCGAAGTCAGATGTGTCTTTTGAAGCGTGGAAATTCGAGGTCAAATGCCTAATGGGTGATCATACCTGCAATGAGGAACTTCTGCGCCACGGTGTCCGCAAGTCCCTGAGGGGGGAAGCAGGCGTGTTATGTATGCATCTTGGAGAGAATGCGACCGTAGAAGCTATTCTCCGCAAGCTGGAAGGTGTTTATGGTAACGTTGATAGTGGGACGACCCTTCTTCAGAAGTTCTATAATGCACGGCAAGAAAGTGGCGAGTCTGTGGCAGAATATGGTTGTAGATTGGAGGAGGTTGTAAATCGAGCAATATCGAGGGGTGCAGTTGCGAAGGAACAAGCCAATGAGATGCTGAAAAGTAAACTGTGGACCGGATTGAAAGACGAGAGGGTAAGGAATGCAACCAGATATAAGTACGATATGATCCATGATTTTGATGAATTGAGGGCTGAGTTGAGAGCCATGGAGCAGGAAATTAAAGAATTAGACTGCATGCAGACCAAGACCGACAAACCACAAAGAGTCTTGAACATGCCTCAAGTTAAAGACGAAGCGTCAGGTGATTCGACTAAAAAGGCTATAGAAGAATTGTCGCGGAAGGTGAAGGGCCTGGAGGATAAGATGACAAGACAACCTGATACAACTAAACTCCTCAACAGGATTCTTGAAGTAGTGGAGAAGCTTGAGCTAGATGAACGAAGAAATCATGGTGGAGCTTTTAAAGACAAGCCTAATGATAATAAACCGTCAAACTCCAAGGAAGGGCCCTCTGGGGAGGGACGGACAGAGAGCCCAAACAAAGTAGCAGGTCCCATTCCAGAGATGTTAGGCGATGTTAATGTAAGTATGTGCTATGTTAATGATGTGCCATGTTTGTCATTAGTGGATACAGGGTCCCAAGTTAGTACCATATGTGAATGTTTTCGTGAAGAATATCTGAATGATTGTCCTTTGAGGGARCTTGAAGACATCCTAAAGATAGAGGGAGCCGCAGGACAGGATGTACCGATTTGCCGATTTTAGGATACATAGAAGTCGACATTTCCTTTCCTGAACAAACGTGTGGGAGCCAACGTAGAGTCCCTACCTTGTTGCTCGTGGTTCGTAATACATCCTTCAACAAACAAGTGCCTATAGTACTTGGTACGAATGTCATCAGAAAGTGTAAGGAAGATTGCCTTGAGGACTTTGGGAGCTGTTTTATGCAGAAAGTCAAACCCGACTTGGCTTGGAGATCTGCCTATCAATTCTTAAGTTATACCGGACGTAAGTATCACAAAATTCTTAAAGCTGCYAAAGTTAAAACACAATCTTCTGCTCCAATGACCGTCCGCCCTAACGAGACAACGGTTTTGTGGTCAGCGGTTGAGACTAAGAACGTTGTTGGTAAGGTCTCGGCTTTAGTTGAATGCCCAAATGGTGTCGCAAATGCACTACAGATCGTGTCTGCTGTGGTGAACATCAACATGAATGGCAGTAAAGGTTTTATACCGGTCAAAGTTCATAACGCCTCTACAAAAGATGTAACTCTCGCTCCGGGTACGGTGCTCTGTTCTCTTCAACAGGTGAGTATTGTGGATAAAGTTACAGAAAAATCGGAGATCTCCAGTCCACCTACTCGTCCAACGGTTGATTTTGATGACACAAGGATGGATGATGAGCAGAGAAAGGCCGTGGAGCAAATGCTTGATAGATGGAGTCACGTCTTCTCACAGGATCCAAACGACTTGGGCTGTACGTCTTCAGTAAAACACCACATTCGACTTGATGATAATGTACCTTTCAAGCAGAGACACCGGAGAATTCCGCCTGCACAGTATGAAGAAGTTAAACAGCATCTTAAGGACATGCTTGATTGTGATGTGATAAGGGAATCTCATAGTCCGTATAGCTCTCCTGTAGTTTTAGTGAGGAAGAAGGATGGGTCCTTACGTTTCTGTATCGACTTTAGAAAGTTGAATTCCAAGACAATCAAGGATGCCYATGCTTTRCCAAGGATRGACGAGGCTCTGGAGGCAATGGCTGGCTGTTCCTGGTTTTCCACCCTAGATATGAAGAGTGGCTACTGGCAGATTGAGATTGATGAGGATGACAAGCCAAAAACTGCTTTCACAGTTGGGCCTTTGGGTTTTTATGAGTGTAATCGTATGGCATTTGGGCTCACAAACGCCCCAGCTACGTTCCAAAGGCT